TCATCTAGAAGATCATCACGGTCACTATCCTTCCAGCGCTTGGACAACTGGAAGAGTGAAGAGAGTTGGCAAGAGTCAAAGATGTTACTGCCTAAAAGCCAGGATTTTTTTCATGTTTGCATCCAGATAGCCTCAGACTCCATGGGTCCTGATACTCCCCACACTATCCTGAACTTATTGTTAGCTGCTTGAAGTCATAGCAGAAAAGGTTATTTTTGCCCTATAGCATCCAGTATCCCCTAGCCAGCACAGTTAGTGCTGGCTGGACAATTGTGTGATTTGTAGACAACATAAAAATGTACAAACTATGAATTTTAAATGCAAATAATGGAAACATTACTCAAGTAGGCTATGGCACTTTGACCAGTAGGCTTTTCCTCATTTCATTCCAGCTGGATAGCCATCAGTTTTACACTCTAGTGCAAATTGATTTCTTTCTAAAATAAGGCATTTCCAACTTTACATCATGAGTTACCTTATTGAGCTGGAACTTTTCATTCCTATCTCTGACCTATCTGTCCTTCCTATTAATCAGTATGCATTAATTAAATCAGTGAAATCCAGATTTGATTACACAAGGATCTCATTCATATTTAAAATTACCTCTGTGCTGGTAAACATCTGTAACCTCCCAGGAGATTATCACACCGCAGTGTTAACCTGTGGGTAACCTGTGGTTCATCCCTTATAGAGGATCACACAAGCATTCTGATATAGCATTACATAATATCACACTTTATTCACAATTTCACAAAATCAACATTTCAGAAGCAAAACACAATACTGCAATCTACTTATCGCAGGCCCCACCTCTCATTCCCTGTAGGATGCACAGGCACAGTAGGTTTGTTTTTTTTTAATTAAAACTTCTGGAATTGAGGCCACATAAACAACAAAAGATGAGAAATAGCAATTGAATGAACTTGCACAATCACACAAGTTTTGGGTTTGTTTTTTTTAAATTACTGGGAAAGGGATAACTTGCAAAGTTCCTGCTGTAAACCATCCTTTGTTCTGTCTGGGTACCGGAAATTGAGTGATTTTCACCTAGGTTGGGAAGAAAAGGGAGAGAAATCCATGCCCACCAGGACCTATTGTGACTGCAATGCATTGAATGATCACACCAGCAACTATTACTGGAAAAGCAATGATACTGCACTAATTCACAGGTTCCTCCCATGAATAAAAATATCCATTATGCAAACAGGAAAGCTACAGCTTGTCTATGGGACAGGCACTGCACCGTGCGATTAAAAACCCGCAACATCAGATTTCAATTCCTGCAGTAAAACCTGGTGTGATAATCTCCCCAAGCGACATTGGGTGGAGGAAGAAACCAAACAAAAATATAGCTGACAATGAATGCAGGAGTATGAACTAAAGCCAGATTTAACAAGCAAACGAATGGGTTTGCTAACGTACTATTGGTTGCAAATGTACTATTGCTAATCTGGAAACAAGGGGAGTCTTCTGTATATTATTGCAGTATCACTGTGGCTCAAGCACACATATTTTTAAAAATCAGAACATAAAAGAAAGTGTCCCTATATATATATATTTTTTTAACCACAGAAGATGTATTAAGAAGTGAGAAACTGAATAGCTCATCCGGAGATCACCCGGAGGCATGGGGCGGGATGTTATCAGTATGCTGATGACACCCAGATATATTTCTCCATGCCTCGGTCGTCGGCCATGACTTCAGATGGCATCTCTCCTCTCAATGACTGTCTTAGAGCAGTAATAGGCTGGATGAGGAAAAACAGATTGAGACTGAATTCAGATGAAACGGGGGTACTGACTGTAGCAGCCCTGAAACTAGGTATTGGGATACAACCTCCAGTCCTGGACGGGATCACAGTCTCTGCAAAGGACTATGTTCGCAGTCTGGGGGTACTCCTGGACCCGTTGCTCCAGATTTCAAATCAGGTAAATGTGACGGTCAGGAGCGCCTGTTATCAGCTTCAGCTGATACGCCAGCTGCGCCCTTTACTGGAAGTAAGGGATCTTGAAACTATGGTACATGCGCTGGTAACCTCTCGTCTTGACTTCTGTAATGCACTCTACATGGGGCTACTCTCGTGCTTAGTCCAGAAACTTCAATTAGTACAGAATATGGCAGCCAGACTTGTCTCCGGTACATCTAGGAGAGACCATATATCACCTGTCTTGAAAATATTCACTGGCTGCTGATCAGTTTCTGGGCTCAGTCCAAGGTGTTGGTTATTACCTTTAAAGCCCTAAATGGCTTGGGTCCATCCTATTTTCGGGACCGCCTCCTTCCATATATCTCAACCCGCACATTTTGGTCCTCTGGGAGGAATTTGCTTCAGCCGGTTAAAACTGTGCTATCCGCAACCTCCCAGAAGGCCTTCTCGGCACCCACTTCCAGATTTTGGAATGGCCTGCCAGACGAGATCCGTCAGATTACCACCTTAAACAACTTCAAAAAAAAGCTGTAAAGATGGATCTCTTCCGGCAGGTCTTTCCTGACTAGTTTTTTCCCTGCCTAAGTAGCAAACCCACTATCTCTAACGTCTGCTACATTTATAACTGTTGCCTGCTTGCTATTAGGACACTGTAACTGTTATTGTTGGCTGTTCTTTTATTGTTTTAAAATGTTTGATGTTTAATACTATTTTAAGGGGTGGGTGTTCTTTTGTTTTTTGTTTTCTTCTGGGATTGTACATTGTGGTATTTTATTGTTATAAGCTGCCCCGATTGCTTCGGCAGGGGGGAGGAATAGAAATAAATAAATAAATAAATAAATAAATAATAATAATTATTATTATCTGCCCCATGCCTATTGATAACAGCCCTCCAACTAGAAGTACTCATGGCCAGATTATTCATCATGAAGAAAAATTAAAATGGAGAGAAATTCATAAGTAGTTGGAAATCAGAGAAGGCATCAAAGAGAAAGTGGCTAAATTGCCTTATACATCCTTCACTCATAATCTTTAACTGTTTTCCCCCTCTTCTTTTTTTTAAAAAAATTAGAAATGCCACATCATGCACACCCTAGGAAGTGTGGGAGGCAATTTTGGTACTCCCCTCCCCTTTTACCATTTGTGGCCTGTTTTAGGCCCAGGAAATGCTTTTTAAAAAACAGGAAATAAACTGGAAGGTGACTTGTGATTTACATACTGTTTTAAAAGTCCAGGGCCAAAAACAGCAGGGAAGGAAAGTAGTGGAAATGTGGAGAAATTGCGCTAGAGGAATATTTTTCCAATGAATGAATGAATAAAATGTAGAATGGGGGTTGAGGGTTGGAGAGTCTTGGTGTTCCCAGAAACAGGTTTGGGGTGGGTTTCTGTAAAGGCCCCAGTTACAGTTTCTGCATCCATTATCAAGCTCAATACTGTTCACACCACAAGATGGCCAACTTGTGGCCCTTGAGATGCTGTTAGGTAACAATCCCCAACATAATTAGCTAACAGTAAGGGATGGTAAAAGTTTAGGGGTTGCCAGATCTCAGGGCCTGGGCCTGAGTCTTCATTTTCAATGGCTCGTCTTCAGGTGAGAGACAAGGGTGCCGGTTCTCCAGTTTTGCTGGGGTCTGCTCTTGCCAAGAGGATAGGGCTGTGTGCAAATCTCCTGCTCAGCAGGTAGAGTGGCAGCTTCCTACAATTTGCAAGACTTAATTAGTGCAACATACAAAGTATACACTCATACCTGCCTGTTTGTGGACTTGGAGTCCACAGTCTTGCCTCTTTGCAGACAGCAAGCAGGGAGGGACGAAATGGTGCATGCATTTTAACCAATGGGCTTTGAATATTTGCAGTTTTTCCGATTTGCAGGGGGATCCGGAATAGATCCCCTATGAACCCAGAGGGACAACTGTACATGTATTTGCTTAGTTAGCTACCTCCTTCCCTCCCAGGGGTAGCAGGGCACACACTCCACTCTATTCTGTACCTATCATCTGACTAGAAGCAGAAGTAAGTAGCCTAGGTCAAATGTTACTTATTCTGTCTTCCCAAGTCAATGAAAAAGTATAATCCCCTTGTGAAGTCGT